AAGAGGTGAGGAGAGCAGGATAGCTCGGAGCCACTGTGCTCCGTGGTGGGGAGGCTGCCCGGCTGTGAGTGGGTCTGGACGCAGACGTGGGACTTGCTCCTGGCTTCACCCCCTTTTCCTCCCATGGCTGCTGAGGCCCAGCGGACCCCTCTCTCACTCTGTGTCTCACCCAACGGAGCAAGTATTTGAAACAAGTGCCTGAAGCCTCCTCAAGGGGTGTGTTGCAGGTCCCCGGAGCCCTGGCCTTGGCCCTTCTCGCTCGCGGTTCCTCCCTCGCCGTCTGCACAGGAGGGGGTCAGCATGGCCTCACAGCCTGTGTCTGACTCTGCTTGGTCCGCAGCGTCAGTGAGCTCAGCGTGCCTCGGATCCTGGCGGCTGGGGGCGTCGCCGGGATCTTCAACTGGGTGGTGGCAATCCCCCCGGACGTGCTGAAGTCCCGCTTCCAGACTGGTGAGTGGAGGGCAGGGGGCGGTGCCCTGGAACTGGCTGCCCCTGGAGTGCAGAGCCTTAGGCCTGAGGGCCCCTCACTCTCCACAGCACCCCAGCACCCATCTGACCAGCATGCTCCCTGCAGTCACTTGCGTTCTAGAGCCCCAGGCTCCTTTCCTTGTCAGCTTGAACCCAAAGTAAGCGAGACAAGAAGTCGAATCAGCTCTCCCTCCCGCGACCCGAGCAGGAGGCCCATGTCGGCACCAGTGCTCCCGGCGTTTGTGTCTGTCTGTCCCAAGGTGAAGGTGTGGTCTGGGGACTGGTCTCAGACGCCCTGCAAGGTGCCCGCCCCGGCGCTGTGACCCTGCAGGAAGACCTGAGCGCAGGACTGTCCTCATGGGGTCCCCATGTCAGGTCAGGAAGCTTCCTGAAGACTTAGCAGTTGGGTTCTGCCCGCAGCTCCTCCTGGAAAATACCCCAATGGCTTCCGAGATGTGCTGAGGGAGCTGGTCCGGAACGAAGGCGTCGCGTCCTTGTACAAAGGGTTCACGGCGGTGATGATCCGCGCCTTCCCGGCCAACGCGGTGAGTGTGGCAGCCGTGCTGCCCCGTGGCTCAGGCAGGGCACGGGGCGACTTGTGCTTGCTCCTGGGATTGGGTCAGGGGCTCGGTTTTCCCAAAACCCACCCCAGCCAGAGCCTTCTAATCTGCCTTTCCTGAAGATGCTGGGAAGATTTGCCCTTGAGATGCTCTGAGGCGAGGGGCTTTGCTTCCCTGCCTGGCCCTGAGACCGTGCGCCTTCATGACAAGTGGGCAGCTGTGGCCGTGCGCTTTCTTCCCTCTTGGGATTGAAAAGGCACCGGAGCCCCTGACCTGGGTGGGCGGGTGGGGAAGGCCGGGTCCTGACAGGGCCCGCGCGCTCTTCTCTCCCGAACCCTCCTCAGGCCTGTTTCCTCGGCTTTGAAGTTGCCATGAAGTTCCTCAACTGGATCACCCCCAACCTGTGAGGCCGAAGGCTGCTCGAGGCTCCCGGGTGCTGGGAACCTCCCGAAGAGGAGCGGTGGGCAGGACTGGGCCGTCCTGGGGGGGAGGGGGTCAGAGCTTCGTGCATGGACTCGCTGAGACCGCGTGCCTTAATGACCCCCTCCGCCTGCTATAACGTGGTGTGCCGTTTTGAAACTTGAATTCACTCTTGTCAGTTTAAGGGATCTCGGGAGGGTTTGAGGTGGGGTCAGTAGCTTCTAGACCAGATACCGCCTGTGGCCAGAGTACTGTCCATGGGTGGGTTGACTGCTGGCCCTCCTGTACCCCAAATACTAGTCTCAAAAGGGGAAATCTCAGCCTTTCATGGAGGCACTATGCATGTTTACAGCCAGCTGCCCAGGAGCTGGTCTTCTTTGGTCCCCAGCCAGGAACAGCCACCAGGTGTCAGAGTGTGTCATCCCATCTGACATGCACAGGGGGTGTGGACTTGAGACCCACGTCTGTCAGTTGAGTGGGATGAGCACGTGTGTAGGGCAGGTAGCCTGCCGACGGTGGGCCGTTTGTTTCTCAGGCATGCTAGTGACCACAGCGGAATGGAGTAGTCTACTTCCTCAGGTAGAGAGCTTTCCCTCCTACACGGTGAGGAGTGTGGGGGTGACGGTCCCAGCCTGCTGGGATGAGAGCCCACAGTGTAGGAAGGCTCTCCTCGCACCCTTTCCCATGAGAGCCCCCTATTTTAACGAAACAATAAAAGATTGTTTTTCACTTTTGCGTGGCGTGAGACTTTTCTCTTGGTTCTGGGTCGTTTCAGCAGCAGCCTGTGCCTTGGCGGAGGCTGTCAGGGCCCCAGCATCCCTCCCTGGTTGCTTCAGGTCCAGCAGGACAAGGGGCAAGTTCTGGCCAGGCCCAGCCTTCCCCGACTGCTCCAGCCCCAGCTGCTAGAGGCAGGGGGTGGGGGGGCCTGGACTGGTAACTGTTCATGGCCCTCAGTGTGAGCCTGGCGTGCAGGCCCCACCAGCCCAGCCTGCCGCTTCTCCATCATTCCTGGGCCTCTCCGCTCTCGGCCACCCGGGTGTCTGAGCAAACGGACAGACAATCAGTTGTTCTCAAAGGCCAAAAGCAGTCCTGAGTTTTAATTTTTTTTTTAATCCTCACCCGAGGATATTTTTCCATTGATTTTTAGAGAGAGTGGAAGAGAGAAGAAAAGACAGAGAAACATCGATGTGAGAGAAACACATCGGTTGGTTGCCCCCAGCACGAGCCCTGACCAGGGCCTGGGCTGGAGAGGAGCCTGCAACCATGGCATGTGCCCTTGACAGGAATCGAACCCAGGACCCTTTGGTCCGCAGGCTGACGCTCTATCCACTGAGCAACACTGGCCGGGGCCTGTCCTGAGTGTTCCTGTGGCTCTGGGTTGCTGTGGGATCTGAAGTCACCAGCCTGGCTTTCCGCCGTGGGCTGAGGACGCCCAGGTGCTGCCGGGAGGTGTGGGAGGCGGAGGAGTCCCAGCTGGTCTGTCCCTGCCCGTGGGGGTGAGGCTGTGGGCACCGGGCGGGCGTCTCTGGCAGCGTCCCATCTGGCGGTCAGTCCGGTGGCACCGGCACTTCCCTTCTCGCTGCAGCTTCCCAGGGACCCTTGGACTTTGGCTTCAGAGCCGCCAGTCTGTGTAAATGGGTGAGTGGGCAGGGATCACACCCCCTGGCTGTGGGCGTGGCCTACCTGGCAGCAAGCTGAGGATTTGGGGGTTTAAGGAAGGAGGCTTTCTTCCCGGGAAGACCTTTTCTGGGTGACCAGATATGTGGCATCAAGTCAAAACTGCATTTTTTTAGAGATGAAAATTGTGTGCCCTCTTCCTGGGAAGGTTAATTCAGTGTCAAGCCTGCTCCGCCCGCGCTGCAGGGTGTCTGCGCAATCGCTTCGGTTTGGAGACGCCACATGTGTGTCCCCCAAGCTCTCAGCCCACCCAGGGTTTTTTTGTTGTTGGTTTTTAATTGTATTTTTTAAAGGTTTTTTTAGGTTTATTTTTTAAAATATTTTTATTTATTTCAGAGAGCAAGGTGGGGAGAGAGAGAGAGAAACATCAATGATGAGAGAGAATCATTGGTTGGCTGCCTCCTGCACACCCCACACTGGGTTCAAGCCCACAAACCGGCCACGCGCCCCGACCAAGAATCAAACGGTGACCTCCTGGTTCCTGGGTCGAAGCTGGACCCCTGAGCCTGGAGCCGGGCCCACCCAGGTTTTGAGAGAGTCCTGAGCCTGGCTTTGGCTGGGAAGGCCCGGGAGGGAGTGCATTTGCATTCCAGTGAAATGCCAGCGTTCCCACGGCTCAGGATCACCCTGGCAGCCGTGCTTCTGGGTCCTTTGCCCTTTAGAACAGCTGCTATTTTAAACGGAATGTTTTGGTTCCGTGATGTTAGTGGTGGTAGATTCTTTTTCTCCTCTGGGTCTCCCATAGCCTGTCAGTCAAACCGGGAAGCCCTGGGGGGGTGTTTGTGAAGGGGGCGGCAGGTGGGGAGGAACTCCCTCCTGGCGGGCACTTCCTGTCTATGATGCACTTGGAAATGCCACCTGTTCTGATATCGCTCCCCCCCACTCCCCACGGAGATGAGAGTGGGGGACAGATTGGGGCCCTCCACTGTGATTTCGGGGTCACCGAGCGCCTTATGTAGAAGCCAGACAGTGTTTCTTAAAACAGCCAGCCGGGACAGCGGCCTCCCCCAGGCGCCAAGCCCAGTACAACTGGGTCAGAGGTGAAGGACAGCGCAGGCTGTTGCGACAGCCCCTGTTAGAGCCACAGCGGCACCGTTTCTGCTGGAAGGTCACACCATCTCTGCCCACAGCTCTTTCCCACGGTTCTTGTGGTTTTTTTTAATGTATTTTTATTGCTTTCAGAGAGGAAAAGAGATAAACATCAATGATGCGAGAGAATCATTGATCGGCTGTCTCCTGCACGCCCCACACTGGAGACGGAGCACACAACCCGGGCCTGTGCCCTTGACTGGAATCGAATTCGGGACCCCTCAGTCCGTAGGCTCTATCCACTGAGCCACACCAGCAAGGGCTCCCAGAGTTCTTTTGAGTCTGAAACCCTCTCTGCCCTTCCTAACCTCATCAGGGGTTCATTCTCATCTCTCTGTCCCCGTGTAATTCAGTGTTTAATGGGTGGGGATTTTTACCCCCCACTTTCAGATGTGGAAGGCAGAGCTCAGACGGGGTGAACTGGTCTGCCAAGAGCAAGTTGGTAACAGAGTGAGGCTAACAGAGTGGTGTCTGGGTGCCCACAGGCCTGAGGAGAGGCCCGGGATGCCAGCACAGGCGGCCCTGGGCTGCTTGGCCAGAGCTCCCAGCGGCCTGACCGCATGCAGGGCCAAAGCCCAGGCCACCGGCCAGTGAAGCGGGCGGGGCAGGCCCAGGGCCAGGTGCTCCCCGAGGGCTCCCTTTCTGCTTCCTCTGCCTGGTCGGCGTGCAGGCCTGTGGCTCTCCAGCCGGACTCTCCCTTGCTTCCCAGGTTCTGTCCTTGCCCTGAGGTGTCTCAGGGGCAGACTCTGTCCACTGCAGAGACTGACACTTTCTTGGGACACTGTCCTCGGGGAGAGGGTAGCACACAGGTACAGTAATAGGTGACCCAGGAGTTGATCATTCCCTGGAGCGGCACACTAGTTAAAATAGACCCGACTTGTCCGGCCGACGTGGTTCAGTGGTTGAAAGTCGTTCTATGAACCAGCAGGTCAGGGTTCAATTCCCAATCAGGGCACATGCCTGGGTTGCGGGCTCCATCCCTAGGAGGGGGCGTGCAGAAGGCAGCCAATCCATGATTCTCTCTCATCATTGATCTTTCTCTCTCTCCCTCTTCCTTCCTCTCTGAAATCAATAAAAAAATATTTTAAAGGAAAACAAAAACAGATTTCCTAGACCTGATAAGGCAGTGGCTTCATGGGGTGGTATTGTGGACGCTGAATAGGGCAGAGGAAACAGCCCATTGCCCCAATCCCTCCTGCCCCCTGGGCTCACAGTGAACACTTCTAAGACAAAACAGAAACTGAGGGCCGAAACCGGTTTGGCTCAGTGGATAGAGCGTCGGCCTGCGGACTGAGAGGTCCTGGGTTTGATTCCGGTCGGGGGCATGTGCCTGGGTTGCGGGCACATCCCCAGTGGGAGATATGCAGGAGGCAGCTGATCGATGTTTCTCTCTCATCGATGTTTCTGGCTCTCTGTCTCTCTCCCTTCCTCTCTGTAAAAAATCAATAAAATATATTTAAAAAAAACAAACAGAAACTGAGGGTAGTAGACACTGAATGATCTTGGAGGACTGGGCTGGGGGGCTGGCATGCAGAGGTGGTCAGATGAGCAACAGGACCCAGGAGATGAGTGCAGGACCGGAGTGGCTGAGAGAAGTGGCCCCTTTGGACAGAGAAGAAGGAGGTGTTCCTGCTGGGGCTGAGTCTTCCCCCGCCCCCCACAAAAGGCGGAGAGCACTGGAGGACAGAAGGGGTGTGGACTGGGGGGGTCTGGGCCAAAGCAGGCCTCCATCGGTGTCGGGGGAGTTTGGGCATCTCCCAGGAAAGAAAAAACATTTTATTTTTTTTTAAATATATTTTTATTGATTTCAGAGAGGTAGAAACATCAATGATGAGAGAATCATTTGTTGGCTGCCTCCTGCACGCCCCCTACTGGGGATGGAGCCTGCAACCTGGGCCTGTGCCCTTGACCGGAATTGAACCTGGGACCCTTCAGTCTGCAGGCCAATGCTCTAACCATCGAGCCAAACCAGCTAGGGCAAGAAAAAACATTTTAAACAATAAGCCTATCAAGAGTCCATGAAACTCACTGTTTCATTGGAAACAGCAGTTGGTGCCCTACCGATGCTCATTTTCCCCAGACTCACTGCTCTGCGGCCAAACATGTGCCCGACTCCGTGTTCACAGCCGTAAACATCTCTGAGAATTGGGCCCATTGTGTTCGTGGCTGCCGGTGGCTGGTGTGTGGCAGGCTGTGCAAGATGTTGGCTGCCTGCTGGGTAGTGAGTGAGTAGGTTTGGAGTCCAGCTCCTGGTAGGGCTCTGGGGGCTCCTCTTCGCTACCAGGCGCCCTATATTTCTCTTGCTTTGTGGGCTTCCACTCCTGGTCTGTTCCCACTCACCGTCACTTGCAGCTGTTCTGGGTTCCTGGCTACCTGTGATTTTTTTTGGTTGTCATGGTAACCCCCGGTGCAGCTGCACAGGCTTGAATGAAGGCAGTCCTGGGAGGGTAAGGGTAAGGGTGGAAGATGTGGGGCTCAGGCCCCTCTGGCATTTCCTTTTACTCCAATGCCCACTTCTTTGGCCAACTCAACGGGGCATTCATGAAGACCCTTGGGACTCCACGTCCTACTGAAGGGTGTCCCAGAAGGACAGAGAGGATCCCTGCTCGGGGGACCAGGTGCTGAGGGCAGGGAACCAAGTCAGGCCTGGGGGCTGGCTGGCTACTGTTTCTCTGAGGCTAGTCTGTGGCGACAGGTAAGCAGCTACATTCCCTCCAGTCCAAGGATGCCTGGGAATGCCCTGTTTGCTCGATGGGTAGATGACCAAGCTGCAGAACAGCCGAGAACAAGCCAGACAAGCCAGCCTGCCTCTGGCTGCGGCTGAAGGTGTTGCTTAGACCAACTCGCTGCACCTGCCCCCACCCAGCTCCTCAGCCCCGGGGCAGCCTCCCTGTAGCCTATTCTGTAATTGAGGTCAGAGTCCGAACTGTGCAGATGCCGGTCCCCCTTGAAAACATATAAAACCTG